AACATAGAATTCCACCTACAAAGTCACGGAGATGCAGAAATACGAAGAAATGGGAAAAAACAAGTAAATAAAAAATTACTGGGTAAAATCGGAAAACAGGAGTGACTAATTTCAATAACGAGGACAAAATTACTGTATGCAAGGCCGTATTCCCGGAAAAACCAAATGAAAGGGAGCATTAATTAGTACTACAAAACACGTATGGATACAATGAAAACAAAACTCAAGACATTTTTGCCCAAAACATTCAAATCTCATTACCAAACAATCAGGATAGTAGGGAAGGATAGTTCAAGCCTGTAGTCAGTATAATCCAATTTGATAACCCACAAACCAATTTTGTAATGAAAGAGACTACAGACTTTTTGACTGTTGGCATGCATACAGAAATAAAGGATTGTGAGTGAGTTATATATGTACCTCAGCCACAGCTGTGAGGTCACTGATAGTTATAACTCTGTCATCATCTGGTATAGGTAGCAGTTTGAGACGATCAGTATAAGTCCGCTCAGCAATGAAGTGCGTGATTTCCTCTTGATTTTGACTGCACCTAATATTTTGTTTGTTGTAATGTAAAGGATAGTAAGCCTTTTTGGTAATGAATGTTAAATAATTCATAATTTAACTATTTTAAAGTAAAGTTACCAGTTACGCAGGCCAGTGGCTTGCTGAATTGGAGGGTTGATTAGAATGCTGCTGGAGTATTTGGTGGATAGATGCATGGCTACAAAGTTGGCAATAGCAACATAAGTTTTTCCTTTTTTGGTTTCACTCAACTTTGGATTTTCGTAGATGGTTTTTAAAAGAGTACTTACTATGGTAAGATGTCACTCGGACTCGAAGCGCTGCAACCACAGGTTGGGTGTGGATCATATCAGCTATGTCTTGTCCCTCTTCTGATTCATGCTCTCCCCAAAGGGTCAGGACCATTGGGTGCGACGTATGATCTTTAAGAATGATGTCCCTAGTTGGTGTTCCGCCTCTGATTGCTTTCGAGTGCACGTGAATTGCTATTCCAATAAGATCTAATAACCAGAGTTTGATATTAAAAGGTGAAAGTATTACAGTGTAAGTTGTATGCTAAGGTAAATCGGGAATGGTACCTATTTCATCAGTTGTGTCAATGTGCTGATAAACTGAATTATAGTTAGCAAAGTTGAACACATTAGGTATCAGAGGGGGGTCCACTTCATCGATTTCTTGGACAAGCGTGGAGTTGTCAATGGTCCATGAGCACTCATTTGGGTAGGTACTGTACCTTGGCAACACATTTTGAATCCTAGCATTCGATACATAATATCTTCTATATGGTTCAAAGTACTTCCTGAAGAACATTATATCTCCAGCATAAATTAGAGCTTGAGCGGTTTGACCCTGCAATTTTGAATAGAGTAAGTGCTATGGTAATTAATTAGTTGTGTATTGTGCCGAAGGATGCAATGATAAGCTATATTACCTGACTATCAACAAACACCAACTTTTGGTAGCGTTTTCCATTTCTTGAAACCTGAACCTTTTGCTTTTCAATCACTTGAACAATGGCAGTCCAGTTGTCCATGAGAGGTTGGAGTTCTGTGAAGTTTACCAAGTTGCTTTCCATTTTTTCACGTTTGAAGAGTGCTGCAGACAACTACCACAAAATCGAAGGATTCCAAAGACAAGAGTTACACTCTGAAGTAGTAATTTCGCAGAATTTAAATATAATCTATTACTAAGACATTTACTGGTACTTTATTTGCTATTTACATATAACAGAGTACAGGAATTATTGACAAGATAGCTGCAATACGTCCTTGTAAACTATATTAGGAGTCACATAATCTAAACTTGAATCATATATAGGAGGCGTGATCAAAATTTTAACAGATTTGCTATTTTTAGCTCTAGATAATGCAACATACGGTTGACCATGTGAAAAAACAGGTTCTCGCAAATAAATGCCAACATAATCTAAAGTTTGCCCTTGAGCTTTATTAATGGTCATTGCAAAACAAAGTCTTATAGGAAATTGCATTCGTTCAAAAGATATAGGAGAATTAGGGTCATTTTCAACACGAAAGCAAATTCTATGTAGAAATACTTGCTTGCCAGCAAATTCGCCAGAACTTATGACTGCATCTATAATATTGTGTTTAAGTGATTTGCATAGAAGTCTTGTTCCATTACATAGACCTTCTGGTGGGTCAATGTTTCTCAACAACATTATTGGTGCATTTTCTTTCAATGTCAATCGATGTGGAGGAAAACCATTTGGAGTGTGGCTATTCATGAAGTCCTCTAGAATTGCTTGCTGCGAATTATCTAAACATTTATCTCTGCTTAAGTAGTCAAATGGGGTTCCGAGAAATTCCTGTATCAGCTTTTCATTGATCTGATCTACAAAATCATTTTTTGTAGTTAAAATTGCTCTATTCATTAATGAGTATGTATTTTCAGAAGGGAAAAATGCACTTTTCATCCTCAAAGTTTGGGTTCTTGACCAATATCACCTCAAAGTTTCACCCAAAACACATTTCATCCTCAAAGATCTGCAATTTTGATCAATCAAGGACAATTGACGGAAAATTAAGGACAACTATTTAATTTGAACGGAACTTTGCATGTGAGAAGCATGGTCTGTCAAATCCAACTCTATACTCAACCAAAAACGGGTCAAATAGAATGGAGCCACTTTCATAATTACTTGCATGTTGGTCTTAGATCGTGGTTAAAAATTTCCCAAAGTTTGACTTCTTGTTTCATTGGCTCAGAGACTTATAATAGATGAGGCCAGAATTGACTTGACTATTTCCACAAAACTTGAACAGTATCTATACTTGTCTGTTTGGAAGATAATCAAGCAGCTACTATATCTTTTCCAGTCCATATCCCCACTCGACAAGAATCATCTCCTTATTCTCAAACAAATCCCATAAGAAAGTGTGGAAATCAAATATGAACTCAGTCACCAATAAGGATAGGCAGCTGATGGAAGATCAAGCTTCGAGACAGAAAAGGAAGATAAGGAGCTACGTCTTTTTCATCATCTTATTCACGGTTATCATCGGTTCAATCATCACAGTTTCCATAGCTCTCATACAAGAAAAAGAGTCTGAGTTACTCTCCGCTTCAACTCCAGATAGAGCAATTCGTGCCATCTGCAATCTGACTCCAAAACCAACCTCATGTTTTGACTCTATATGGTGCCTCCGCATGAATTTCTCCACCGATTTAGGCGAGATCAAGACCACCCCATCAAGAATTTTCACCCTCTCTCTCCGTGCTGCTATCAATCAACTAGAGGACTTGATTTCAGCTAATGAAAAGGCAATCTCTGAGGTCGAAGATTCAAGAACTTTGACAGCTTTGAAAGACTGCAATGTCTTGTTCAAGGATTCTTTAAGGCTTGTAAACGCGTCTGTGACAGCAATGGGAGTCAAATCTGATGACAAAATCTTTAAGGTCGCGAAATCTGTTGACGACATGAATGAATGGATGTCAAACTCTGCTGCAACTATAGACAAATGTTTCCTTCTTCCTCTCAGTCACTCTGCTAATAAGGCCTCCAATAATAAGCCTCCACTTTCTGCTGCTGACTTGCATCATCAAGATAGTGCTGCGTCATCCTTTTCCAACAATAGCGTGAAGAGGGAGAGAGAGCTCGGTAGCAGCGAAGAGGTGGAGATCGAGACAGTTTCCTCAAGAGTAAGTGACGAAGATGATGATGGTTCTAATGGAAGGAAGAAGCTTTGCCTCACAAAAGCTCAGTCTGCTCTTTTGGAAGAGAGCTTCAAGCAGCATAGCACTCTCAATCCGATAACATCTCTCTCTCTCTCTTTCTCTCTCTGTGGCTAGCTAGTTGATTTATTTTCACACGTAATAGTATAACATTCCTTGCTCTTTTTTTTTAACATTTGAACAATCATTTCACAGGGCAAATTAAATCGTGTGTATATACATACATATATGCTGATTTTGCAGAAGCAAAAGCAAGATTTGGCGAGGGAACTGAATTTAAGGCCTCGACAAGTTGAGGTGTGGTTTCAGAACAGAAGAGCCAGGTACTTGCTTCTTCATCCCTCATTCCCGAAGATTAACAATGTTGAGGAAAAACAGAATCGATCGTGCGAGCCAGTTTTTTGAGATATGCATAAAGTTTGTCTATTTGAAATAATGGAGGGGGGCTTTTTTCTTGGCTATACGCAGGACGAAGCTTAAGCAAACGGAAGTAGACTGCGAGTTCTTGAAGAAATGCTACGAGACGCTGACGGACGAGAACAGGAGGCTGGAGAAGGAGCTACAAGAACTGAAAGCGCTAAAACTAGCGCAGCCCTTGTACATGCATGCAATTGCCAATGGCTACACTGACCATGTGCCCTTCTTGTGAAAGGGTCGGTAGAGTTGGTGAAAACTCTTCCAGTAAGAGCCCATTTTCCATGGCCCCAAAACCACACTTCTTTAATTCCTTGACCAATCCATCTGCAGCTTGTTAGCTAGCTTTTAATGTAGCGAAAGAGATAATAGCGTGAGCATTAGGCATGAGGGTACTGAAAGGGTCGTGGGTCATTAGGCGTGAGGCGTGAGGCATGAACGACAGGGGTGAGATAGGTGCGGAGAAAGAAAAGAACGGAAAAATCCCTAAAACTCATTTCCCCTTCCCTCTCTCTCACTCTCTGAGAGAGAAAGAGCAAAGAGAGGAAGGAAGGAAGGATAGTGCGGTGTGTGTGGATCATAATGAAGGAGAGGGAAGAAGGAAAAGAATGTTGGTTTTTGTCCGTTGCAAATTATTGTTCCATTAAAAAAATGGCTCCATTCAGTTTTACCCATTTTTGTTGGGTTTAAAGTTGGTTCTAACGGCTCACATGCAAATTTCCGTCAATTGTCCTTAATTTGACAAAATTACGGATCTTTGAGGATGAAATGCGTTTTTGGTGAAACTTTGAGGTGAAATTGGTCAAGAACCCAAACTTTGAGGATGAAAAGTGCATTTTTCCCTTTTCAGAAAATATGTTGAAGTTTGGTTAGACAGTTGTAATCAATTGATTTATGGATTCTTCTTCATTTGTATAGCGAAGAAGCAATGCTTGAGAGATGTGAATACTTTCATTTTTAACTGTGTTTTCTGTTCCATTACCTATGCGAAGAAGGTAGTTGCTAAAATCAGGATCTAATCTTGCTCTCATGTTTTCCTTCAATTTTAATTTCTGCAGATGAGGCCAAATATAAGATTTTATAAGGCTAGCTTCGATAAAGTCTGATTTTGACCCTTTTACAACTACTGGAAGAACTTGCCTAAAATCACCACCAAATACCATCACTTTTGACCCAAATAATTCAGAGTTATCCATTAGGTCTCTAAGCAAACGATCTACTCCCTCAATTCCTGCTCTATGTGTCATAGGCGCTTCATCCCAAATGATCAATTTGGCTTGCTGTAATAACTTTGCCAATGACCTTTGTTTGCTTACTTTGCACATGTTGTTAGGATTCATGTCTAAAGGAATTTTAAATCGTGAGTGGGCTGTTCTACCTCCAAGTAAGATAGAAGCAGCTACTCCACAAGAGGCCGTTGCCAAAGCTATACATCCCTTTGATCTAATTGCAGCTAGTAGTGCACGGTACAAGAATGTTTTCCCTGTTCCCCCAGGCCCATCAATAAAGAAACTCCCTTTGCAGTGTACAAAAACAGCATCTATGATAGTATCAAATGCTACTTTTTGATCTTTATTTAATTTAGAGATAGCAGCAATATCTTCTTCATTGACTTTAAAGTTTAGCTCAGAATTTGTGTCTCTTGTACCTCCATCCAGTTCATCAAACTTTAAGATTCGTGGTACTAATCCATACATATTAATGTTTTTTCCCATTGATTCTAAAAACTTGCTAATCTCATAGAGAACTTTATGTTGTACCTGATCGCTTGACAAATTCAAAGTTCTATTGAAATTTTCTGACAGAGATTCTTTGAATTTTAACCATAAACTTCTTGGATCAGCAGGAGTGAAGTAAACTAATAGAGTAGCAAATAGTCTTCTAAAGCTATATGGCATGTGGTATAAAGCTGCTTCTTCTAGGCACTGCTCTTGAGGGTTATTGGATTCAAATAATCCTCTCATTATTACTGCTTCTCTAAAGGTATTAACATAAACACCATCGACAGTTTTCAGGTCATCAAATGATGTTGGCCCTTTTACATTCAATAACAATAATCTTAAGAAGTACCTCTCGCCCTCACTTGGATTTGCTGTAACAATTCGGCCTATTGAACCTCTCTGCTGCCTAATATCCCATATGCGTTTACCAGGTTTCCACACAAAATGTTCAGGAAATTCTTTGTATGTGCATTTCAATGTTTTGGCTCTCTCATCAGTAGCATTCATAAGGAAAAATTCAGTTAGCATACTTTTCTTAGCAAATTTACTTTTCAAAAGATCTCTAAGATCAGCATCATCTTTGAAGGTCAGAGATTGATAATTTTCAAGATGTAGCTGAAGGTTAATGACACCAGGATGTGTTTCAAATAAGGGAAATCTGTAAATTCGCCAAATGGCTTCAATAGGAGTAACCCATCTTGCTGATTGGTACTCCTTAATTTCATCTATCTCTTTAGATCTGTCATCTGAATTCACAGCAAAGTGTATTTTATCATGTCCCTTATATATGTACTTATAAGTATACTTGACTACCTTTATTGTTGAGCAAATTTCAACATTCATATGGCAATTGAATTTTGCTAACAAGTAAGGATTATATGGAACCACCCATCTATTATCCAATTCATGGCCTCGAACTTTTACCTTTTCTCCATTGTTCCTCCGCCTATATGTTGGATAAGAATTTTCAGATTGTGTAGTCTTTTCTGCCCACTGTTTAGGATAATGAGTTTTGCATTTTTTAACAGTTGTACCTTGCATACACACGTTATCTGCATTTTTATTGCCACAAGGACCATGTATCATGTGTTTGCGAACCATTTTAAACAAGTGTGGATGCTCTTTCTTGTCAGGAATCTCAGCAGAAACAATGTGATCATAGGATTCCGTTGAATATAATTTAGACGTTGGGTGTAAAATTATTAAGAAATGTGCATGCGGCAACCCCCATTTTGGGAATTCAACAACATAGGTGTAAGCAGCTACTTTACCCAATACCTCTTTCTTAAACAACTCTTCTTTTAAAATTTCTAACTTGGCATGAAAAACTCTAGCAGAAAGATCAACACGGTTTTGAGACTCATCAGTGGGCAGTAAGTTTTCTTTGATTTCTGGCCATGATGGGTTACAAGTCATTGTTAAAAAAATGTTAGGTTTTCCGAATTTTTGAACTAAGGCCATAGCATCAACATACCTTCTTTTCATATCACGCGGGCCTCCTATAAAAGATGCTGGCAAAATTACTCGTTGCCCTACTTTTGAACCTCTACATTGGCCCTCAACTACAGAATCCATAACACCCTGTAATTGCTCAGTCCTAATTTGTTGTTGCCTATGCCGGAAAAAATCAAGCCTTTGACTCTCAATTTTTACGTACATGTCCACTACATACTGTTGAAATGCACGGGCAGTATTAAGAATATTTGGTTTATTTTTCTCCCTCATCTGGAACCTATATGCATAGTATTCACGCATGGACACATTCTCCTTTGAATTCTCAAAGTTTTTGAAAGCTGTTTCAAAAAATTTTAAGCTTCAGTTTACATTTGGTAAACTAAAATTCTATTCATAAAATTTGTATTATATTTAAAAACAACTAACCTTTCTCTTCTGATTCTATTATATCTTCGGCAGATTTGAAGCTTGTTAAAGTTGCAGCCTGTTGATGATTTCTAATTGATCTTTTTCTTTTTTTTTTGGATTACCAGTGCCAGATCTCTGAATTCCAGGTTGCCACCCTGTTTCGCCAAAGGGAAATAGAAGTGGATACTGCAATGGATCATAACAGCCATAGTAATATTGAATTCTACGACTGTGACCCTCTTTTGTGTATACTTGAATGTGTCTAGCATAGCTGTCCTGTGAGTTTTCACCTTCAACCCACGGTGCAGCTACTTGGGATACTGTTGGCTTGTTAAAGACTCGCTGATCAGTTTGACAGTAAGATTTCAGGACTATTTGATAATTGTCCAAGTCTGGAACATGTCTCAGGCTTCGGAAAAAGCAAGCATAAGGGTTACTTTTCATGAGTTCCATGAGTTTCACCACTATGCTCTCAGTTAGTTTTGTTGAAAAAGCCAATCGATTTGCGATTTCATGTTCAGTATCATGAAAGTATAACTGCAAAAACATTCCTGATCCTTCATGGGGAATCAATTGATTTATAAAATGATACATTTGGCCCTGAATTTTAAAAGTATATATTCCGTTTCTTCTTTGGCAAAGCGATTTATCATAGTTAACTCCAAAAGAGGTGAAAGCAAACATACTATTGTATGTTCTTACATAGGTTCTGAAACAAATTGCTTCTTCAGTTTCACTAGTAAATAGCTCTATTAATATGTCTGGCATTTTATTCTCTTCTAAGACTACTTCTCCATCAGAGCAACAAAAGTTTGCAGACTCAGAATAAAATTTTTTAGCTCCGCAGTACTTGCAATTCTGTTGTTCTGGTAATCTATCAGCTTCCAAGCTTATCGAAGATAATGCCTCGATTCCCTTCACCACCCTTTTACGTTGTTTGCGTACCTTGTTTTGTTTCCTAATCGAAGCATTTTGGTCTTCCCCATAGCTTTTAACTACATGAATGGGTTAAAAATGTCATTAATATGGTTTTTAATATGTTGAAGTTTTACAACTTGTTTTAATATGTAGAAGGAATAAACCTGAATTCTGTTTACACCTTCGTCTTGACATATGTTTAGCTTCTCTTGAACGTTTAGGTTCAACTGAATATCCTATATGTGCAACTTTAAAACATTATTATATACAAAGTTGTATCATATATAAGGTTAATGGGATCGCCACTTTTATGTGATCAACAATGGTGATCAGTTTTTTAGCTAACCTGTTAGATCCTCCATTGCTTCAGAAAGCAAGCTATAGCAGGAGTTGCAGATGGGTGGTTGGTCTACAATATTGGCAAATAAGGTGATCACTTTTAGCTAGTAGCTAAGGAGAAATCTAGGTTGGTAATGTTTGTTTCAAGAGGAAAGAATAATTAAACTTAGCAGCAGGAAACAATAACTAAACCTGAAGATTGCGTCACTTTAGAATGTTGACACTTCTTTATCCATCGACCTGTAGAAGTAGAACCTATACATTTTCCACAGCATGTTAACTAACATATTTTGTAGGTCTCTTTTAATATATCTTTGGATATTTGTGAATTAAAAATGTTTTTAATTCCATGTGGTTCACCTTTGTGATATGTTGAAAATTCTGAAACATGCTCCTTCTGCCTTCGATTACTATCAGCTTTGTCTCCAAGAACTAAATAGATTGTGAAAATGTTATGCGTATATGACATCACAATAGCTTAAAGGAAAAGGGATTACAAAAATAACCTACCTCACGGTGGTGCTTATGACCACAGTTAGGTTCACAAATGCGAAAAGCCTGCTGTAACAGTTGCTTATTACTGGTGTGCTCATCATCTGAGCATAGAGATAGAGGAAAAGGTTGTTTAGTTTACAGCCATACTTGTTAGGAGTTATTATAGAGGTGGGTAGGTCTGTAAATATTCACTATAATGTAGTATACAGTGCGATACCTTTTCCTCTCAATACTAATGAAGACGTAAAAGTAGTCTTTGTCTTTTTATTTTTACTTTTATAGGCATCACGGCGTTTTTGTCGTTGGATTTCTTTCTGCTCCTCAGTTAAAGAGGCATATCTTTGTCTAGCCTTTTCGTTACGCCGAGCTTTTCGGTCGAACATTTTAGAAGGAGCAATGTTTCGATTCATAGTGATTTGCCAAGGAAATGTCGGGCCAACTAACAAAAGTGGTTGGAACTTGAGGTATACACAAACTTGAACAATTCGAATGAATCCTAAAACACAATGGATCCTAAAACACAAGCTTATTTGTAGTATATTTCAGTACGGATTCAGCCTACGAATATTAACCACTTTTTGCTACAGAATGAACTGCAGCTCTTTTAAAATAAGGAACAACTACAATACTAATTGCTTATGCTTTCATGTAGATACACGTCATGAAATCTATGAGCGATGAAAGAGCAAAAGATTTTTTAACTGCACCACATAATACTCAAATCCAATCCAATGTAAACAAAAGAAGATTGGCAAACAAGCGTAAATTGTAAACTAACGGAGATTTCCAAACAAGCATGAATTCAATGGTAAACACAGTCCACAAATCATGTTTAAAAAAAACAAAACAACTATTCCAGCAAGTTTGGAGAAAAGCAGAAAATGAACTAACCTTTTTTAAAAAGAAACCGATAAAACTTGATCTTGATGAGAAGAGTTTGAGCCTGCATGACAAAAAAATAATTAACTTTGTATGAAAGGCCGAAACTAATAAACGGAAGAAGGATACAGATGAGAATAAAAAAAAACACCCATCCCCCTAATGACATCCCCATGGTAATTCTTTTTTGAAAGCAAAAGCCAAAATCAAATGGGCAAAATTACTTGTATACGAATCTCACCTCAATTCAAAGGAAATTCCATATCAGGGACCAAACATATCATAGAGAAACAACTATATGTAGCAACATATTTAACACCAACTAATCATAGGAGGAAAGGAGAGAAACGGAAGAAGATGGAAGGCTATGCGTGTAGCAAATGCGGAAGGAGGAGGAAAGCCATAGGGGGCAAACTTGGAGGAGCTGATACTTCATCTGGTGGTTGTTTAATAATTAGAGCCATTAAGAGGAATAAAGTGGAAGAAGAAGCAAATAACCGGAAACCAGACCTAATCAGCCAAGGAATTAAACAAACCCAACATGATAAGAAGAAGAGAAACTGACATGGGTGGCAAACATGGAGAAATTAAGAGACCGTTTAACAGAGGGAGGTGAAACTGGTGGAAGTTTAATTAAAAACCTCTCATAATAGTCATCAATAATCAAAGGGGCTTCGGTGAAATTTGCAAAGTGGCAAATGAGAAAACGGTTTGGTTGGCAGAGGAAGAGTAACAGGGGTCTGAGTATTTAATGTTAGATTTGATTAATGAACAGGTGGGGTCCCTTATTCAGTGTTGTGTAATTAAGTTGAGCACCGGCCACTTCAGGATTGGCGTACGAACTGGTGCATTTTACTTAGGAATTAGTATTCTAGATCTGGGCTCATTTGGTAATATGAGCCCCTAAGCAATTAAGAAACACTTATGGGACCCATCAAAATAATAAGAGCAGACCAGTTACAATGCGTGATAACGTTGCAAGCATCATGGATAAAATAGTCATATTAACACCAACCATTGCATTAACAACTTGTACAATATCAGCTCAACATCTCTACCTTGTCCACTAAATTGACAATGATATCCAAAAAGGGCGGTTGAAACTTAAAGCTAAAATGCACAACGAAGATTTTCTTATATATGTATAGGATACACACACACACTAGCCAACCCTTACAATCTTATGATTTTAAACCTTTAAAACTAACAAATTCTATTTTGCAGGAAAAATGACAAACTCAAAAGCAGTCGACAGTTGGATACCTCGCAACCTTGTTAATAATCCTATTGCTAGCGATTATTATTCTTACAAACAACAATGCAGGGAGGATAGAATCCAATATTTCGATGTTGTATTTTACAACACCGAAACCGGACAACGTATTCCTCCATGTCTTCGGAACCAATACGACAACATTGCTTCAAAATTAACAAACTATACAGTTCGCAGCCTGAAGGATCATAGCTTTATAAGACGAAGAAAAATTCAGAGATTAACCCTTCACAAACATTGGATTAAAACCCAATGGGGAGTACAAGTACCTGAATTTGACAAAATGATTTAGGAAACAAAACAAGAGTTATCTGCAACAATCTGCTGAAGAGTACAAACATACATTCAAGCTGGCTCAATCGGAACAAAATTCAGAAAAAAAAATCATTTCTACTGTAGCACCGGAAGCACTATAGCAATCCGGCAAGTTACTGTGCAAACACAGCAACAAAAGACAAACGTTGCACTTTAGCGCGCACTGTAGCAAATCACTGTAGTGGATACTGTAGCACTACGGAGATTTTTGCTATAAATACCCCTCAAACCCAACACCATTCTTACACCATTCTAACACCATTTCTTCAAGTCTCATTCTCTCTCTAGTTTGAAGAAACTCTCCTCCCTCTCTCTACAAACAAGTTCTTAGTTTTTATATTTTAGTTTTTAGAATCAAACAAAAGAGCTTGCACAAGCTTCATATCCTTGTAAGTTCTCTTTTATTTTTATATTCTGTTATTCAATATTCAATCAAATGGTCAGCTGAGCCGCCTATATTCATATCCATTTATTTGTTTTTAAAACTAACAAATATATATATATATATATTTGTTAGTTTTAAAACTAACAACAATCATATATATATATATATATATATAAGGAATATTAAATATACAAAATTATGTCAAAAGAATTAGAAGGACAAATCTTTGTATGAGCAAATTGAGTTCCTTTGAAAATGTATTAACTGTTGATAATGTTTTACTACTATTTTCCATATACATTGAATTAATTGGATATATGATTGTTGAAAAATTCTTGGTTTTATATACTTTTTAATGAATTGTTACTGGTTCCTGTGTAGTTTTAATGTTGTGGTTCTGTGGATATTAAATTAGTTTAAAACTTAATAATTATAGTAATTATAGTAAGAAAATTAAGGAGTTATAAGTGAGCTTGAGTTAAATCAAAATTAAACTTATAATCTGGATATTTTGTGAGTTAAGTATGAGTTTCATATTTATCACTTCAAATCTCATAATTCGAAATCCAAAAGTGGTACTAACTATATAAGCCAAATCTATGTTTGTTAAACCTCACTTCAGATGGCCCAATGACAAGCCTAAATCCTTCACTTTTTTGATTTAAATGAAATTAAATTTAAACCTAATGCATTATATGAGACTTGATAAACTTTCATTCTTTTTTTTGGACTTGATGAACATTTTAATAAGCAAAACATTTTGGTGGCTTTTAAATATAAAAAGGTTGAAGCTAAAAGGAGAATAAATAGATCAAGAATTTCAAATGCGCATCTATAATTATAAGAAGCAAAGAAATCCTAAATAAAGAACATTCAAGATCTTGACAGGCAGCATAAAACATTCCAAGTTGGGTGGAAAATTGGCGGATGTGATGGGTCTAAATCCACTCGTCAACGGAAGTCGTGACCCACCATGGAAAATTTTTATTTTCTTGTGGACAAAATCCTTGGAGGCATATTTTCTACTGACTTAATGGAAATTTTGATTCTCTATCAATTGGTTGTGGAATTGATTTTCTGATTTACGACCCTCACGTTTGCAATCTAAATTAATTTAAAAATGTTTGACTTAAAATCACCAAACCTATTGAAAATTTGTCACATATCCTAAATTTGATACGTCTATGTTAAAGAAGCAAGTAAATAAGGTTTCCATGAGATGAGAACAACAAAATCTAAAGCACGAAGGACAGTAGTCTGCATTTCATGTTGGATAGTTACAAAAGAAATGGTGCACATTTGTCAAAAAAGTTTTGTATGGATTTTGAATTTTTCTTTTAATGTAATTGTTCATTATCAAAATTTGATCTTTCAAAAGTTTATATTGTTGAATAAGAGGTCTGAGCACTCAAAAAGCATTTATACCTAAAGTGAATTATATATAGTGTGACAAACAGCTTAATTGGATGACCTCTATTAGTTTCTCCTAAAGGGCATGTAAGCATAGAACTCCCTTTTTTTTTTATCTTCTTTAAGCTAATCTATATTTCTTTCTCCTAGGAAGACACTCTTTGACATTAATGTGGCATTATAAAGTTTTTCACAAGTAAAACATTTTAATTGCTTTTAAATTATTGAATGCAAATGGGCCTTCAAGAAGAAAGAAGGTATCGCATGGGTCGAAGATGCAAGGTATAAAGCATGATTGGTTGCAAAGGGTTATAGTCAGGTATAAGATGTTGATTTTAATGAAGTATTTTCACCTGTTGTTAAGCATAACTCTATTTATACTTTACTTGCTTTAGTTGCCATGTATGATTTGCTATTGGAGCAGTTTGATGTTAAAACAGCTTTCTTGCATGGTAAACTTGAAGAGAAAATTTATATGAAACAATCTCAAGGATTTGAAATTGAAAAAAAGGAAGACCATGTTTATTTGCTAAAGAAATCTTTATATGGATTGAAATAGCCTCCAAGATAGTGATATAAGAGATTTGACACTTTTATGTTGGGTCATGGTCATTTAAGGAGCATGTATAATAGTTGTGTTTACTTTTGAAAGTTAGATGATGGTTCTTTCATTTATTTGCTGCTTTATTTTAATAACATGCTTATTGATGCCAAGAATTTGTCAAAAATTCACACTTTGAAGTTGCAGTTAAGTAGTGAATTTGAAATAAAACATTTGGGAACAGTTAAAAAAATTCTTGGCACGGAGATCAAGAGAGATCGAGGAGTTGGAAAGTTATTCTTGACCCGAGAAAATTACTTTGAAAAAGTCTTGGAAAAGTTTAGCATGAAAGATGCTAAACCTCTGATTATTCCTCTTGCTAGCCATTTTCGACTATCTGCTGCTCAGTCATCAATGTCAGTTGAAGAGAAAGAATATATGGCATGGGTTCCTTATTCCAGTGCAGTCGGCAACATTATATATGCAATGGTTTATACTTGTTCAGATATTGCACAAGCAGTTAGTGTGGTTAGCAGATAAATGTCTTGTCCTGAAAAAATATATTGGCAAGCTCTGAAGTGGATTCTCAAATACTTGCGAGGGATTT